GCCGGGGGGGGGGGGGAGCAGGAGAAACTGGCAGGGCCCGTTGCTGCTCCCCTCCTGGCCCCTAAGGGGCTCTGTTCTCCCCCCCCAGTCCCCACTGGTTCCTTGCTGGACTGATAGCCAGTGGGTGGAAAGCAGGCTAAATTCATTTTCCAGCCTCCAACAGCTTCCCCAACCTTCTGCCATTGGAGCTGGGGCCGCAGCTGCAAGGACCACCGGCCGAACGGGAATATCGAGAAGATGCGGCAACCCTCTTGTTTTTTTTTAATCCTTAAAACGCAGATAGTACACCTTGCCACGGTTCAGACGTGGGGCTTGAGAGGGCCAGATTCAAGTCCTCCTTTGGCCTCCAAACTGGTGGGGTGACTTGGAAGGGTTACTCTCTGAGCCCAACCAACTTTAAGTGGGTGGTTGTTGTCGAGATAAAACGCAGGGAGTCCTTGCTCAGGTTTGTTTCCTTGAAAAAAAAGTCAGGATATAAATATAATTACTCACACACACGGCTTTTCTGTTCCATCCTATTATTTGGCTCAGCTCCTGGGTCTGTTGTTTTTTTCCCCCCGATTAAAAAGTCGCAGTTAAACATCAGGCTTCCCTTCCCACGTCACCCTAAACCATGGCTTGCTTAACCAGCAAATTAAGCAAAAGAAACCAGCCACCTTGCGGCTCGGGGGGTGTATAGCCCATCGGCTTCTGTTTCTGAACTGGGAGGTTATTGGACCCCTTATGGACTTTTTGCATAAAAATGAAAAAAAATGAATGTGTAATTTATGGTTTTGATGATTAGACAGGATGGATTATAGAAAGAAGGGAGTCATGATGTAACTTTAGAGAGGGAGGTTAAAATACAGTTGTGCTTACAACTGCTGCGAAGAATATTGGAAGCTACTTTACATCTTTCTTTACATCTTTCTCTTTTTTCTCTCCTATTTTCTTTTCTTATTGCACTTTTAGCTTTTTCTGTAACTTCCCTCTTTCTTTTTCGTTTTCTCTCTTTTAATTTCATTTGTATTGGTTCTTATTATTGCTCTTGAAACTTTTGAAGAAAAATCAGATTTTAAAAAATGAACCGGGAGGCCACTGGCTCTGACGAAAGGAGAGCCAACCTCTCCGGGGCTCGGCTGTCTTGAGTTCAAATCCCTGCCACAACCCACCAAGCCAGCGCGCCTTGAGGAAGCCAGCAGCAAGCATGGGAGGAAAAAGAAGGAATTTGGCAGTATCATGGGAGGGGCCCCCCAATTGCTCTGCTGGGTAGTCAGGAAAGAGGAAACAAAGGCAAAGTTTCTGTAAGTGGGACAAGTGAAGGGATAGCAATTCCCAAGGAAGGAAGATATGACGACTTTATTTCCAAACTGCCCTTCCTTTCCCAGGGGCACCCAGGCAGAAGGTAAACACTGATCAAAATTGCTTTGCAGCTCCCTGGAGAGTTTGCTCAGTTCAGCCAAGCAGCCTCTGTCTCAGAACATTTACACAGGTCTCGAGGCTCCCCCCGTTGCATCTTCAGGTTTGGAGGGAGAGGATCCCTGTCGAGCAAAACAAACGTTCGCGGGGCCGCTCTCTCTTTCCTGAAAAACATCTCAAGCTGCTTATGGATGGAACCTCTTCAGGCATCACGATGCATTACTTAAAAAAAGCAAAAAAACCTGTACAGAGAAGCTAGCAAATCAAGAGAAAGCTAGAACCGAATCCTACTTTCTGTCTGTTGAGAAGTGAGGGGTTTCTTTGTATGGAGAAGCGTTAAACCATGGCAGCCTTGGTCGTCTGATAGAGCAAAAGAGAGAAATAATTCTTAGAGGAGACCGGAACATTGGACACCTTGGAGAGTTGCATAATTTATTCTTGCTCTGTGGCATATGTTTCCCCCCTTGGGTGTGTGTGTGTTTTTCATGTTTAGATTCTTTGCATGACTGCTTCACCTCTGGTATTTGAGGGTTAATTTGAGGCGGGCTTTATCTCCATGACCAAAGATATGATTTTTGTTCAAGAGGTTCTTGCTCTGCTCTTCAGCGCCTCCAGACAGAGCTGGGAGCTACCATTTAATGCAGAGAATGCTATTAAAACAGGCAACTTACTATTACAATTATTCACAGAGTGAAGGAAACAGGATTTTCCTCCTCTTGTATCCTGAACAAGAATTCAGGATCATCCAGTTAAGTTGAGTGGTGGGACGTTGGGGACAGATCAACAATTCCTTTGGTATGGAACCCTTCCCACAAGCCTTGGTGATGGTTACCCCTTTGGACAGGAGTCAGGATGAGGCATGGTCATGAAGAATAGGACTATCATGGCTACTAGCCAGGGTGGCTGACTATTATCTTTAGAAGTGCCTGGAGAACATTTCTCAACATGGTTTGCTGATAGCTAAGAGTAGAAGAAGAATATTACACCAATGTCTTTCCAAAAACATCTGATTGACAACTATAGAAACCAAATGGAGATCTGGAAGAACATAGTTTGGCCCAACACAGCTCTTAGGTTCACTGTTTTCTATGCTTCTTTCCTTACTATAAATGTTTGTAATAAATATTGGTTTATCTGATGCATTACTTTTGAGTGTTAAGATTTTGTATCTGGCTGTTAAATGGTTATTTTTGTGTTGTTGTTATTGTGCTTTGACACTATAGTGATACAATCAGACCAGCCAACTAAGTCCCATTTTAGATGTTATATCGTATTTCCTTGAAAGCAAGACTATTTTCCCCCAAAATAATTTAAATAAAGATGGGAAGGCAGATTTACTGAGAGAGAGAGACAAGTCTTCTCCATCTAATCTTTCTTCTTGTGGAGGCAACCATCTTAGATTAAACCTTGTCTTCCATTTGGATGAAAGTTTTTGATGACTTTGTTGTTTTTGCAAGCAATTTAAAACTTGATATTGTTGGAGAAAAATGACCTATCAGTGATGAATTGGACAATGCATCTACTGGTTGATCATCATAGACCTAAGTGAGGCTCTTGGGTATTTACACTAAGGTCTCCTCTGAAGTAAAACCCACTGTGCTCAGTGGGCTGTCTTCTCTTGCAGAGGGGAGCAGAATTGCATCTGTTGCCTCCTCTCCAACCCTTGTTTTCTCTTTCTCTCTCTTGTAGGGGAAGTTCTACCTGGTCATTGAAGAAATAAGCCAGTTGTTCCGTTCACTGGTCCCCATCCAGTTGTGGTACAAATACATCATGGGGGATGATCCATCCAGCAGCTATTTCCTTGGGGGGAGTCTTCTCATCATGTACAGCCTCTGCAAAGTACGTTGTTGCTCTAAGATTGTGCTGCAATGTTGTTCCCCAAGCTGGTCCTCCTCTTAAGGAGCCAGGATCCAACAACAACAGGAGGAGGAGACATGGATGATATTTTTTATTAAACCCAGAGATCTTAAAAAGAAAAAAAATCTTTGGAGATGGGACATAGCTTGTTCTTCCTCAAAAGAGAACAGGCAGTCCAAGGTTTAACTTCTGAAATAAGAAGAACCCGCCACCTTTCAAAGCCAATGTTTTCTCAGTGGGTCTATAATACTTCTAAAAGTTATAGACACACCATCCATGTTTTCAAACAAACAAAAACCAGCACGGTATTGCAGGTTCCTGCAACCACAGCTGATACGTAGGACTGGGTTGAGCGTTAGTGGCCCTCTGAGTGCCTGTGAGACTCCAGCTCCTGGAAACCCCAACCAGTATGGCCATAGGTCAGGGATGCTGGGAACTGCAGTCCAGGAATAAATTCCTCACCCCAGCTGTATATAAGGAAACCCTCTAAAGGGCTTTTCCTTCACGTAGATCTAGGACTGACCTCTAAGAAACCACTTCCTGAGCTCAGCCTAAGAGAACCAGAACTAAGTCTCAACCAGATGAATCCCCAACAGTGGAGATTCGTTCCTCGTTCAGGCTAAATTAGATTGGTCTTAACATTTGAAGCGTAAACATTTAACGTTTTTCTAAAGTTGAACTGTTTATATTTTCTAGCGTTGAACTTTTATTTTTAAAAGATTTTTGACTTTATGATTTCTCCACTCTCCCCCATTTTTTTAATGTTATTTGTATTTCTTTTTTCTCTGCTAGCTACTTTGCATCCCGGATTGAGACCCTTGCAGAGCACCCTTAATAAAAAAAAAAAAAAAAAAATTGAAATTTTATAGATGGGGGAAGCGGTTTTGTTTAGATTTGGTTTGCACAAGTAACTCTGAAAAGTTGCATGCCTTGATAAGCTTTGCCTGCTGATTCTTGTAAACCACACTGCTGGTAAAGCTAGAAGAGCGAAACTTGGTTTTTTTTTACTTGTTCCTTTCATTCGGTTCTTTGATTTATATACCACCTGCCCTAACCAGTGACCCAGCCTGTATTTTGCTGGCATCAAACTCTGCTTTTCTCCTCCGCCCTTCTCTGTCCCTCACACCCATCCATCATGAAGATGGGGGCCATTTCTGGCAACACAGCTTCTACATTCTCCTAGCTGTTAGCGGCTGAATTGTAATGACAGAATGTGGAGGGATTGGAAAGATTTATATTTCAGCTGGCTATCAAGCATTACAAAAGGCATACGTAGCTATCCAAAACAGGTCCTATTGTCACTCAAGTGTTGAACAGAAATCGCCAATATTTTGAAAAGCTGTCTATGGGTGTCTTCCCAAATTCAAACTCCAGTAGAGTTGAAGGGATCAGTGTTTCGTTCTCTTGATTTCTAACCCTGCAGTTCTATTTATCTGTACTTCAAAATAAGTTGCGTTTAGTTTCCTCGGACTAACCTAAAGAAGGACGTGGAATTTAGTTGAACGTGGCTTACATCTCGATGAGTCGGAAATACAACCTTCATTTAGCAAAGCCATTATAGCTCTCCTAGCCATTATATGAAGTAATCCATTCTTCACGCCAAGCAGTTTTGGAAAAAAAACCCTCCTTTTTTCCATTTTTGACTAAAACCATTTGTTGGCAGTCACCCCTCAATCAACAGTTAGGCCTGTTCTGGTACCAATGTATGCAAGAGACAAAGCAACATTTGTAGTAATAATAATATGTCCTCGTGTATAACGTCTGTTGAGTCCACCCGGTCTGTGACCCAAAGCAACGAAGAGATTCACGGTGTCTGAAAGACTGCCAAATTTATTGTCGGGAGGAAATGGACACAAATATGCTTGCACCGATCAGCTGGCTTCTGGGTTAGGATCTGTGAAAGCTTATACAGTCATAAATGTGTTAAGTCTTTAAGATGCCACATAGTTCTTGGCGGTTTCGCCAGTCCTCTGTAAATCCTTAATCCGCATAATTGCCTTACTGGATATGTGCGCCACAGACGCAAGAAATAAAGCGATGGATGAGTGGCCTTTCTAGGGTTCTTTGTGGATCTGATTCAGTGTATTTTGAATCAGGCACAGACTGACCACTGATGTGGCTTAATAAGGAGATGTGAGGCAAAAAGGGTCACAGGGAGAAGGTCCCCCACTCCCATGGAAAGGACCAGATAACAAATGAGGGGGGAAGAAAACCTTTCTGCCAGAATTCCCCACAGGAGCTGCCTTTCAGAGTATGTAATAAGGAATTAAAATATATTTGCAGACTCCAAGCTCCCTTTGACAGCACCACTGAAATTGATAGCAAAGTGGCCTAATTTTGACAATGCAATTTCAAACCCATTTTGGAAGCGTGGGGTAATGATTTACTTCTCAGAGGCCTTCTGCTCCCTTTCCCACCCTTAGAAGCCCATAAAATCAGCCACACCCTTCTGTTGACCTCACCTGTCTATGGATGCTTTTCTGTGGCCCTCCAGGTCATTGGATGACCTTCTGTGGTCCTTCAGGAGGCTGGGAGTCACATTTGTGGCCCTATCCTACTCAGACATTGCCCAGCCCTGGTGTAGATGGACTGTCTGATCTATAAAGTAGGGTTCTGCACCCCATCATGCAAACCTGGTTTACTAATCCCGGCTAATCCTGCCATACTCTTTGGAAAAGACCCTGATGCTGGGAAAGATGGAAGGCGAAAGGAGAAGAGGACGGCAGAGGATGAGATGGTTAGATAGCATCACTGAAGCAATGAGCATGAAACTGAGCAAACTCAGGGAGGCAGTGAAGGACAGGAAGGCCTGGCGCGATATGGTTCATGGGGTCACGAAGAATTGGACACGACTTAACGACTGAACAACAACAACAAATCCTGCCATAGGGTACATCCTTTCTTGCTAGTGCCATGCTTGCCACCTGTACAACAGGCCAACATCAGGAAAAGGATTTTTCCCTCATCCCCTACCCCATCTGTGTTTTCTCCTTTGAATTCTCTTAAGTTGCACCTCCCGTTCACCAAGTTTCTCCTTCCTCTTCCATTCCAGTCTTTTGACATCTGCGGCCGTGTGGGAAGCGTGACACGGGCATTGAAAGTCCTCTGTGCTCCTCAGGTGGGTGGGCAACTGCTTCGCCTTCATAAAATTGAGGTAACTCTACATCTTGGCAATTGTATGGAAAGTTGTTGTTTTAATGGAGAGGTTTGGCTTGGCATAACACCCTCCCCCCATTTCTTTTGGGAGTGTGAGATCATCCACTCACATCAGATTGTAGGGCAAGAGCTGAATGTGGAATCTGCTGCCGATGATGATGATGATGATGATGATGATGATGATGATGATGATGATGATGGCGGCTTGAAGAGGGGATAGACAGGTTCAAGGGGATCAGCTCCCAATGGCTACTAAACATTATGGCTTTTTACTCCCTCCGGAAGTGAAGGAAGCACTTCGGAACTCATTTCTGGGAAGAAGAAAAGCAGAAGAGGGCTTTTGCCCTCCAATTCCCTTCTTCTGTCTACTGCTACTGTCTCCAGCTCCTTCTAAAAACTCTGCCCCCTTTCTGCTTGGTGGCCAATATTCTTAGCTTTTCCATCCAGATTTCTGACTGAATCGAATGATCTCCCTGAGCTTTTGATACAGTCGGTGAGTGCATTGCAGACTATGATGTTTGCAAGTTTGTGAGTGAGCAAAGCATGCTCAGGGAGAAACAACCATAACTTGTTTTCTTCACCACTTCAGCATTCCCTTCCTCTGTTTCTTCTGTAGAATTTCAGGTTTGTTGGGAAATGAGTCTGCCAAAACTTAACTGCGGTCCTCAAGGTGGGTGTTGGGGATCCAGTACAGGGGCATTTGGATCTCCCACTCCTGTCCTGCACTACAGAGATCATGTAACCAGTGCCTTCTCTTCCATGAATCAGCCAGATTCCCCTATAAAGCCACTTGTGTTGGTGCCCATCTTCACCTCTTCCTCTAGCAACTTCCACATCATAACTCTGAATTTTCCCTTCAATAGAGCTATGGGGTCCGTGCGACCAACCAGCAGTGCAGTGAGGCAGGGGACATCTGCGCCATCTGCCAGGCTGAGTTTAGAGAAGCGGTGATGCTCTTATGCCAGGTAACCTATGGGGTCAGTTGTTCATTGTGCTTTCTGAAGGGAGCAGCCCAAGGCAATCAAGACAAATGAAGTTCTGCTGACTGTGGATATAGGCCTGGGGGAGGAGGACAGAGCAGAAGAATTGGGGAGGGGGGACATGACCAGAGGGATACATAATCTGGGCTTCCACAGTTTAAAAAAAAGGTCTTCTTCAAGTCAAGCTCAACTGGCAATTTCATGGACGTGTCCATGCAGGTTTTTTGGTAATGATAAGGAAGCAATTGACCATTGCCACTTTCTGCTTTGACATCCTGGTCTAGCCTGCAATCCTGGGATTCTCTGGTGGCGTCCCATCCTACTATTCCAAACCAACTCTGCTTAGCTTCCAAGTCCAACATTGGTCTAGTGCTGCCACCTGCACCTAAACACAGGATTTCAGATGTGCTCCAGGATTCAGCATTCTGAACATTAGGCCTGGCATCAAGATTTGGCAACGTGGGCAGCTGACCGTGTGCCAGCCAGCCAGCTTACCTTAATGTCAACCTTGCTCCCTGAGTAACAAGTGGTTACTACCAACCACTTTAAATTTCCCACAGAATCCTGGGATGCCTGGAGTATCATCACTCCAGTGCTTTGTGGTAACTCCTTCCTGTTTAATGCCCTCGAACGTCAAGCCTTCTTTGACCTCATGAGAAACCAAGAACTGCAGCTTGTATTTAATACTTCTGCCAGATAGATGGGAGGGGAATCCACTGGTAAAGGAAAAAGCCCATGGAGGAAGTCTGTTAACTCTGCTGAGAGTTGTACCTTCTTAAAAACATAGAGAAGGAGTGTGTGCGTGTGTGAGAAAGAGAGAGAGATCAGATTTCTAGGCCTTACATCCATGGACATGGTATTACCAGATGGTCCCAGAAATCAGAGAGGGGCTAAACTTGACCTCAGAAGTCAGGGTGAGATGGCCAGATCCACAGCTGATGCATCCAAGTCGAATTGTTCAATTCACAGTGTCCACAAGAATCTGTTCTTTAACCAATCAACAGGATACAATTAAAACAGCCAGATCATTGAACAGAAGAGTGGATCCTATCCTGGAAGGGATCATTCCTGAAAAGTGATGAATAAAATGACCCTTTTTATCCACATTTATCATTGGGCAGATTTGGTTAATTTAAAGTGGGCTACATCTCATATTCCTTTGTCCCATTCCCTAAGTTTGATGGGAGGACGGAGTCTGATTCTTTCCAATATCGAACAAAACTTCATTTAGGTGCTCTTAATCTGATGAAATAGGGGATTGGTGGAATAAGAATCCCTCAGGCTCAGTCAGAACTTTTCATTGTCTGGTTCCCCCCTGCTTGGACATCTTCAGGATGCAGACCTATCCATGTGTTCCTTTTATCTTTGCAGCATGTTTTCTGTGAAGAATGCCTCTGCCTCTGGTTTGACCGAGAGAAGACTTGTCCTCTCTGCCGCTCTGTGGCCGTGGAAACCCTGCGGTGTTGGAAGGACGGTACCACTTCTGCTCATTTCCAGGTGTATTGACTTGCAGGATGTGCCAAGAAATGTTAGCTGGCAAGACATCTTCTGGAGAAGGGTGAGAGGGAGCGTTCTTCAGAATATCTGTCTGGAATCACTGTATCTCCCACTTCCCTGCATAAGGCAAGTTGTAAGTTCTCCATCTTCTCTCTGGAGCATCAGTAATTGGTGGAAACTTTAACGTTCACTTCCTTTCATTCTTTCATTGCTCGTTTGAGTGCTTTACTCCAAGACAATTGGATACTTAGTTGAGATACTGAGGACATCCATCCTATCTCTTAGATAGCTCTTGGGAGATATGGGGGTGGGGTGGGGTGAGGTGGGGGGAATCACATAGGCTGGTAATTAACCAATGGAACTCATAACCACAAATAAGTCTACCAATGGCTACTAATTGTGAACGCCACCATATCCAGAGGTGTTCGGTCATTGGGTATAGAATTAGAAGAGGATCACGGCCTTCAAGCCTGAGCTTGTCCACATCTGGCTAGCCTCTTTTGGGAAAAAAGGATGGATGTAGATGAATTTAATCTCTGATCCAGTAGGATCCTTTGGATGTTCTAAGAGAAATTTAGGTTTTCTACTATCGTCGTCCAGATGAGTTGTTTTCAAAAGATGGTCATAGGTGATTGATAATTGTCATCTCTTCGCTAATGTGTGATTGTTTGAGAATGCAACATATGCCCAAGATTTTCTCCCCTGGTTCTCCTGGATTTTATTTTCAAAGGTTGGGTGGAATATTTATTTAATGGCCTTTCGCCTCTAAATGCTAATAAAGACTTGATTTACCCAGAAGTATTGAAAACAATTCAACTATGCACGCAAAATTCATAATTTGGAGAAAGCTGGGGAAGAAGATACAATTTGCAGAGTTTGGTTGGATGTGGTCTTCTGGGTTTGTAATTTCCTTTGAGTCAGGTAGCACTATAGTTTGGGAGAAGTAGCCCACTTGGCTACAACTGGAGAAAGTTAAACTCAAACACCAATTAAAAAAAAACAAGGCTGAGGAAAAGATTGGTGTAAAGAATTCTGAAATGTAGCGTTTTGTCTGTTGCATTCTGTGGGCCCCCGATGTCCTAGAATATGAAACAGTTCTCTGATCATTTCAACTCAAAGGCAAGATGTGTCTGGTTTTAGTTTGGCATGCTATGTAAACACCCACTATTGTGATTTGCACACCAGGGAACGCCTTAACTCAGTGGGTGAACTTGGCCAGTCTTGACTTATTCAACGTTACTGTGATGTGTGACTCAGCCCTTCCTTGAGGAAGAAAGCTTTAAAGGGGGAGTGTGGGAATAGTTTCCTTCACTGAGATGGTGAAGACCCCAAGAGATATCTCTTTTGACTAAGGTGATCCCGCGGGCTAAGTCAGATTCCCATTTGGGAATACGTTTGTGTGATAGCATCAGTTTTCTGGCTGGGGGTGCATAGCAAGGAACCAGTCTGCGTGTTTGGATCTCTGTACACACGTGATCTTTTCACGATCTGCTTTGTTTTCAGTGAAGTGTGTCATGAAAAGCACTTTCCTCATTAGCATTCTTCATACTAGTAACACAGGTGTGATATATGTGACTGCAGCTAGAACACAATTGTGACCACAGAGTCAAACTTCCAGAATCCACATCTTATATCCTTAGTCTCTGTTCTTGGTGTCTCTCCAAACTGCCATAACTTTACTAAGTTTTGCTCTTCTCATTGAACAGGGACTGACTGTGGACCAATTGTTATGATATTATTATTATTATTATTATTATTATTATTATTATTATTATTATTATTTTATTTTATTTTATTTTATTTTATTTTATTTTATTATTATTATTATTATTATGTCAATGACCAGCAAAGTTGTTATGATTCATCCTAGCTTACCTTGCAAGTTTGATATGAAGAGCTGGTCTTGTGTGTAATGAATAAATTTAGTATGGAACGACACCTCATTTCACAGAATTACAGAAATGGAGTTTCCAAAACCCAAATTCCCTGCCACAAAGGTTTCATTTGTACAATCCCATCTTTAGATTCGGCACTCACTCTGAGGGATGTTGCCATGATAGACACTGAATACTCTGAAAAATGAATGACGCGCAATCAAAGATCAACAACCTGAATCCTTCTTATCTTTTTTTTTTAATAAAGTCAATATAAATATGTACAAAGTCTCCAGCATAGGAAATTCCTTTTACAAAAGGGTGAGAAAAGCCCTATCGAACCGCAAATGAAATTTCAAAACGGATTCATTTCATCTGCAATGAGATTTGAACGGGATTTTTAGCTTGGTATAGAACTCAGTGTTTCACATCTTGGAGAGATCATACAGCTGTTTTCTAATCTCTGGTTCCCTTTTTGACAGGAGTTATTGATTCCGTGTTTCTTGTCTCCTGTGCAGAAACCATTTCTATGTAAGGAATTCTTCAAAACTCATACATAGCTTCTTGCATCCAAAAATTTAACCCAAATTCCCTGTGTATTTACTTGAACTATTTAAGTCTCGCTTGTTCAGCATGTGTTCAAATGAACCTTTAACTTAGGGAGAAAACGATATTCACATCATGGCATTAAATTAGAATGGAGCAAATATTATGTGCTAGAAAGTGATTGAAATGGGGCAGATGTGACCCCCCAGGTTTTCTTGTTCGGACTGCTCTTTTCTGGAGTTCGTGGCAGAGTACAACATACTCTCAATGGCCTGGGGAAACAGAGTTATCCATTGTGGAAATGAGATTTAGAAACTCAAACATCTGTTCAAACTTTGTGTTCTGCTCCACCAAAACTTGTCTTATAAAACCAGTGGATGCTGGCTGGGGATCTTAACCAGAGATTCCAGAATGGAAGAAAGGGTTTGGCCTACGTAGAAGCCCAAGAGGAGGCAGACAGCCGAACAGGTGAGGTGGTGGCCTGGGGTGTAAAACCAGTTTGAACAGTTTGATAAAGTGAATAAACAGGGAAGCCAAGTTAAAATGGCCAGACAACTGAGCGTTTCTCAGCTAGTGAACTGCATGGCTCTTAGCTAGCTGTCTTTATTGGGGTGGGGGGGATACATATTGCAAGGTATGAAAGATGTTTCATGATAAATTCATTCAAGACGGGTGCTTCCACGTATTTGGTTTTGTACTTAAGAGATTTGAAATCCTCCTGTACTAACTCTTTGGAATCATCAAGGGGGTGTTTTGACTGCGTAAGGAAGAAAGATAAGGGGGCCTTGGCCCTTGCTTTCTTAATATTGAGATTTGAAAGGCCTCTCACTCCAACTCGGTTTATGACTTCTTGATTTATGTTGCACCCTGCAACCCTCCTCCATGAAAGGAATGCATCTTGATTTTTGGGTCTCTTGAAGAGAAGAGTTCTTTAAAATGGAAGGTGTAGCATCTTGGAGAAATGGTCTCCAGAGTTAAGGTGGGTTTGGAGAAATGGTCTCCAGAGTTAAGGTGGGTTTGGAGAAATGGTCTCCAGAGTTAAGGTGGGTTTTAGAAGAAGCTACTTCTTGCATCCATCTGCTGTAGAAGCTTGGTTAGATATCAATGCCATTGTTCTTTTGTGTGTTCGTAGTTTTTTTCCTTCTTTTGTTTTCTGTTAAACTTTAAAAATGTGTTCTGATTTTAAGGGTCGCAAGTCCCCTCAAGTGACGCAGGGGCCTCAAACAAATGACTCAGTAACATAAGATTAGGGTTAAGGGTGGAAATGTAGCCCGGAAGTGGGTTGTGACTCAGCGTTAGGAGAAGAATCCTCACCACGCCACAAATTCAACAACTTGGCTTGGGAAAAAGCAAGTTTTTCATCACGGGGGACATTTCAGCTGAGGCTGGCCAGCTACTTATTAGCAAAACTGAAGTTGCATTCCGCATGGTAGATCTCTTGTTGAAGAAGGGGGATGGACTTTGTGACCTCAAGGCTTTCCTCGCATGCTAAGGTTCTGTTATTCACTAAGGATGATTCACTAACACAGCCATTCAGCCAAGGCAGAGCCATTCAGCCAAAGGCAGCTTTGCCTTTATGGATGCGAAAGAGTTGACCCCACGACTTCCGCAGTTACAAAACCTGGCGTATTCTCAACCCGGTCCCCATGCACCGAATGGAGGCCAGCTTAGAAACCTTTCCCCCCCCACCCCACCCTTTTACTATCTACAGATTTAAAGCTGACAATGATTAGCAAATTTTGCTGTTTTCCTCCGTGGTTTCAGCATCGAAGCGAAAGAGGCTTCTCAGAGAGGCGGGGGGGCGCCATTGAAGACTGGGATGTTACTCTGCGCTCGATGGCGATTGCTCTCTGGAGATCCAGGGTGTTTTAGAGATCAGCCCTGTTGGCTAGGTCATCTGCAGCTGAGCACCTGAGAGCACTCGTTTAAAAAGGGAAAACCTTGTTCTAATACTAAAATCTACCCTGGCGTGATTTTGAGTATTTTGGAGATGGACGTCTTCGCGGCAAGCTGCGGCGAATAACCCTCGTCCCGTGCATACGTTTGGGCAAATGCACGTGGGACTCCAGCCGATCTCTCAGGCAGGCAGGGCTGACCCCCAAAATGAGCACCCCCTTCGGTAGCTAAGATGCTACGAAGGCGCTAGGACGAAGCACCTGGCCTGGTTTGGTTTTGAAGAGCAACAACAGCACCCTGCTCCAGCCCCCGAATAAAAGTAGCGAAAGGTATCTCAAGGTCCGGCCTAGACCTTTAGACAAGAGAGAGACATATATACATATACACCCCCACCCATATGTAGAGAGATCTATAATACACCCACATAGGCTGCCTCTCTGCGAAAATCCTGCCCCCGTGACTGGCAGATGCTGGGCCTCAGGGGTTGAGTGGCTTCTGTTTTGGCCAATCAAAGGAGGACCCCCCTCGCTGCCCAACGTGGGCAGCCCCGCCCTGCAGCTGAAGCTGCTGCAATGGACGGTTCCCCCCACCCCGAACCCAGCAACTCCCTTGCCACTTGGGCCTCTGCTGTACAAGACACACACAATGGCTGTGTTGAGTGGCCTTTTGCCGCCTTCTTCTCCTTCTTCTCCTCCTCCTCTTCCTCCTCCTCCTCCTCCTCCATCTTCATCCTCTTCTGTACAAAAGCGTGCTCACTCACACACACACGTACTGGCTTGGCCGCTGGACCACTCGGCATCTCCCTCCATGCACCTTCTGATTTCCTGGCTGCTTAACATTTGCCTCGGTGGCTTCGAGGCCTGCAATCTACAGGAATGGGACAACTCCCAAGTGCCCAGATCTTCCTTCAGCCTGATAAAACAAAAAAAACCAAAAAAAGGAGAGCTTTAGTGGAGGAGGGCTTACAAATGATGTTACAATCTGGGGACTGCATTCAGGTGCCAGTCGATCCTTGGGAACTGGTGCCTAAACCTGAAAGTGATTCTTTGCCAAGCTGGACTCAGACAGAGTTCTCTTTCAATAGCTCTCTTTCAATCCAAAAAACGCTAGGGAATTCCTGGAAGCTTGGCGTTCTGACAAATCAGCCATCAATAAAGAGAGAAACCACATTTAGGCACCATTCAAAAGAGACAATAAGAAAGCTAAGAAGAAGACCAAAAGACCAGAACACACCCCCTCCAGCAGCCAACACTCAGATAAGCAGGGATTAACAACAGACAAAGTATCAAGCAGGAAACAATATCCTAATCAAGGAACTACCAAGGAGAAAAACACACCTCCACCAACACTGGGAGGGCGAGCTACTGTATATAAAGAGGGAGCAAACCCCACACTCACTAGCACTGATGATGTTACCTGGTTGGGTAATGAAATGTCTGCAACCAAGCTCAGAGAGCACCAAGGACTCCAGTTCTCTTTAGCAAGATTTATTGAGATGGCAGGGATGGGGTTACAAGAACTCCAGCCCCTGAGCAAATTCCCCTTTAAAACCAGTATGTCCCATGTACTGTACATTAGGGTGGAGATTCTAATTTTCCTTCTTTCTTGTGATCTGGTGAGGTGGCAAGTTGCTTCATTCATAACAGGGAAGCTCGTAACTAGCTGTTGACATAATGAACTCCAGAACCTTTATCTTAAAAATACCTTACAACTGGTAAAAAGCAAGTCCTGATTAGAAATCTGGAAAATGTTCTCATGGCCGTTCCAAGCTGGGACTTAGGGAAAATGTCTGACAAGTGTTTTCTTCATCATACCTTAGGGTTTATCGCTGTTTTATTTATGACCTTTATTATTTATTTATCTGATTTTTATCCCCTTTTTAAAAAAGAAACTCAACAAAATGTTGTGAGAGCTGCTGGACTGAAAGACAAAAGTGGATTTATGTATTACACTAAGCTTGTGTGTCACTTGATTTTGACTGAGCGTGTCATCTGAACTCGGCCACTGCAATTTGGAAACCATGGTTTAACAGCTTAAAGTGGGCAACCAAAGCCAATTGTGGCTTATTCCAAAAATCGTAAGTGGCATGCTTGTTTTTGAAAAAAAATGTAAAGAACCTGAAAAATATAATACAATAAGGAACCCAGCACATATGAATGCTCAATAACATCATGCGGGAAGACCCCAAGAATAATTTAAGAGCTTAACTTGATCCACCTTAACTTCACTCAGGTAAGTTGACATGATCCTCATCTCCAAAGAAAAGTTGCCTTGGGCTGTGTAAAATCATGACCAGATCTTACACTGTCCCTCCTAGACTAACGGGTTAGATGGCAACTGAACTTGGAGTTCCTTTTCAATTCCTAAATTAAACCAATCTTCCCCCTATCCTAGAATTT